GAGCGTGCGAGAAGTGCTTTTTTCTGCACGCATTCAGGCACTAGTGCGGAAAAGTAAAATAATTATGCAATAATTTTTTTGGAATTGGTTGGCTTTGGGCATAGTGCATACAGCCACTACAATTAACTCAATATAATATTTATGTAAACTATGATGTATGTAATTATGTGTTACAAATAAAAATTATTAGGCAATCTCATGACCTGTCAAACGAAATTCAATATGAAAGTTCAGGTCAGACAGCGTGTTGTTTACATGGTTATTGACAGAAATCAATGAAAAATTATTATTTTGTCACATTCTGGACATTTAGGTTTGACATTGGCATTGTCATATTGTCATGTTTGGCATCTACAACAATAAGGGCCCTGAACAAAAATACTTTTTTTTATGAACGTCACCACAATTTGACCTGAACGGCCATATTGGAATAGATTGCCTTTGTCTCAAATAAAAATGAAGATTCTTGAAAAAAAATTATCAAAACATAAAAGACAGGGTCACTCCACGCCATAAGGTCTATCTAGGTGACTTTATTTACACAAACAGGAGTAATCGACCAGGTAAAAAGGTTAACATAAGGATCAGTACCAAAGGATAACAAAGATCCTAAAGCTTTCTCACACACATAATATTTTGATTTCTACAAAACATCGATATATCATTACCATCCCTACCCACGCGCAAGACTAAATTATATGGATACGGCCACTATACGGCGCAAGCGCCAGACTTCCCGTTGTGGGCCGGACTTCCCGATTATTATCACAAAGAATAGAGATGGATAATAGCAACATAAAGAATAGAGCATAGAACTGACCACAAATAACGGAAGGACAGATGGACAGAATACCACACACACACCACTTGTATAATTCTTATACAAAGTTGTGTACCTACATTTAAATTACATGATATTGGATAATACCACATGGAACAGAATGAGCATTAAACACGTTTGTACTTCCGTATTTCCCACGAAAGCTCCCATGGGTGCTCCGCACCCATGAGAGGTTGCTCATGGGTGCACCTGCCCCGATGCTCCCATGCAGTTAGCGCCAGTGCGGGAGTCTTACAGTCCAACCGGACCTGACGTTATATCGTGAGTTCATATAAGAATATTACGAAACCTATTTGCAATATGTCTTCATGTTTCTAACTTATTTAGGTACATACCTTTATATTTCAAATGATATTTCGGTACATACTTCCATATCCTCCATTTCTTCCATTTCTGCAAAATATCTGCTTTAAAATGTCGTCGGGGGCCGCATCACCTGTTGTTTTAACATAACACAACTTTCCTTTCTCGTTTGTTCATCCCCAATTGGAAGAATCAATATTTCGGCCTACATTCTTGTCCCATAAAGAAAATATAGTCTATAATTTAAAATTAACTTTAAGCAATTTTTTTTTTTAACCTGAACGTAAACCCTTAAAATATGCTCTCTAGCTGTTGGTGTTAGTACTGCTGGTAGGTGGTAGTACTGCTTAATCAAAATTTGCACCAAGTTTTTGCCTGCTTGTGACTTCATTATACAGGGTGTCCCACTAAGGTCGGCCAGGTACGATATTATGGAGACCATAGACCTCACGTAACTTGAAAACAAATGCAGATATTGAATTACGGTTTGCGCCAAAATGTAGATATTTTTTTGCTCTTTAAGCACAGCAATACAAAAATAATATTATGCCATTTGGATTTTTCATGAAAATTAGGAAAAACTGGATCTTGAATAATCAGCGCCCTCTAGCAGACGCGGTGGGAACTATCGACCTCGAACGAAGTGTTGTTCTTAATAACAATGAAATTCTCTTCCAAATAAACCCAAATTGAATGAGTTTGAATGAGGGGTCTGGAAGATACAGCAATTTCTAAAAAAAAATTTTCACCAGCTTCTTCCACCCTTATTACTGAAGATACGAAAATAAGCCTAATAACCAAACTGGCGCAAAAATTAATGAACTTTTAATTTCTGTTTTTAAAACAGTATCTTAATATAGCGATTTCTGGAGAAAAGTTGAATTTTTAGCTATATCATTGTAATTGCGCCTCCTAGCGGTCATCCTAGAAACTTGAAAATAATTTCCATCAATTTCTCTTGGCCGATTTAGTGAAGAAAAAAAAAATCCCGAAGCCGTTAGGTCTATGGTTTCCATAATATCGTACCTGGCCGACCTTAGTGGGACACCTGGTACATTATATACCGGTAGTCATACAAAACAGAATTATATTTTGCTAATATCAAGGGTTAAAAGTTAATAACATTGGAATCTGTCAGTTATGTGTTGATTTTTTCAAATCCGAAACCTCACATCAGAATTGGCTCAAATTTTGCATGAACATTATTTGATGAACAGCTCAAAATTTTGTTTGCAAGGGTTGAAAAAGCATTATTAGTGATTTTGAATTGAAAAATCTGAAAAATTAAAATTTTCGATCCAAGTTTTACTGCCGTAACGTTTTTGTTATTTATCCTATTGAAACAATCAAAAAACTAAATGTGTGTTTTTTAATTCTCTATAAAAAAGTATATGACACATTTTCAAAAAAAACTCACTGTTAACGAGTTATTTACTGTTAACTGAAAAAACCAAGATGGCGGCAGAGATTTTTCAGGGCTCCCGGAATGGGAGACTTTGGGACGTTTGGTATGTTAATGAGGATGATTTCGACTACCTGTAAAAAAATTTGTACCTTGTTAAAAATTACTTCCTTTCTCGAGGAAAAATGTGTATATTGCTCCTGGGCTACATACGATACAATCTAAATTCGATCCAAGTATAGGAGAATCTTCTGATGAAGACCATAATGTAATTCTTGTGGAAGAAAGGACTTTCTTTTCTTCGTACCTTTGGATAATTAGGATTCGTGACATATATGTATATGTATGCACGAGTGCCTATGAGATGAAAATTGTCCAACTAGATATAAGTTCGAAAACTATGTATTCAATAATACTAAAATGTTTCCACAATTAGATATCGCAAAATATTTATGTGTTTCACCAATAATGCAAAAAAAAAACAAATATATTATTTGTGCAATAGTTTAATGCTTAGGTATTTAATACACTATTAAGGACAATATATTTGTTTATTTTCCTCAAAATTTGTTTTTCTCATCTCTTGGTCTTTTATTTTTCTATCACTCTATTATGATTAGGTAACCAAAAACAAAACAACTCATTAAATTTTATAACAGTTTTTACTAAATACAAAAACTACAAAACTATGGTATTACATATTTACAAACATTAACATCAATATAGGTAGGTATAAAATATTTAGGTATTTCACCAATAATGCGGAAAAACAAATGTATTAACTATGTTTATGTAATAGTTTAATGCTTATTTAATACACTGAAGACAATAAAGATAATATAATGTTTCTTTCCCTCAAATTAGTTTTTTTTTAACTCTTGGTAATAAAAGGGTCTTTTATTTTGAATAACATGAAGAAAACAACTAATTCAATTATATCACAGTTTTTAATAAATACAAAAACTGCAAAACTATTTTATTATTTACAAACATTAATATCAATATAGGTAATCCCGACTAAGTAAATAGTAAATTAATGGAAAAAAAAAAATGTAAATTCTGCCTAGAAAAACATGGTATCAGGTCCCAACAATAATAAGGCTGTGGAACTTAAAATGAGTTTACCTAATCAAATCAAAAGCTCTTCTCACTATTTCACAAAATTTGTTGCCAATATTATTCGTTAATTGCGTATATACTTGTAACGTTGTGTGCATGGTTTCGTTTCTTGGACAATTGTCACTATGACTTACTTACTGGTTAAAAAGAAACGTTTATGGCTATTTGCACGGCTATAACCTAAGGGATATTTGATCTAAGTGAAGCTTTGAATGTTACTTTTTGTTTCTACAAGAGTCACATTCAAAGCTTCGCTTAGATTAAATATCCCTTAAATCATAGCGGTGCAAAAAGTAGGGTCGGAATTGTATTCGAATAATTCGAATAGTCGACTATTCGACTATTCTAAATTCGAACTTTTTGTTAGTTAGAAAATTCGACTATTCGAATATTCGAATATTCGATTATTCGACTATTCGACTATTCAAATATCCGATTATTCGACTATTCGTATATTCGATTATTCGACTATTCGAACATTCGATTATTCGACTATTCGAATATTCGATTATTCGACTATTCGACTATTCGAATATTCGACTATTCGAATATTCGACTATTTGAATATTCGAATATTCGACTTTTCGACTATTTGAAGATTGGACTATCTACCTAGTAGGTACCTGCCAGCCCACTTAAAAAAAAACCTATACATTACAAATTTGAATAAAATAATGTTCAGATTTTCAATAGTTACCTAAACGACTATTCCGGTTACCGGGTTACCGGTATTTAATTAAAAATAGACCACTACTAACCGTACGACGAAGTACAAACTAACTAATCTAAATGATTATCGGAATATTTGACTATTGGAATATTAGACTATTCGAATATTCGACTTTTTGACTACATATTCGAATATTCGACTATTCGACTATTCGGCTATTCGAATATACGAATATTCGACTATTCGACTATTCGAATATTCGACTATTCGACTATTCGAATATTTGACTATTCGACTATTCGAATATTCGACTATTCGAATATTCGACTATTCGAATATTCGACTATTCGAATATTCGACTATTCGAATATTCGACTATTCGGATAGGTATCCGAATATTCGACTATTCGAATTATTCGACTATTCGAATAAAATACCAAACGACTATTCGAATACTTGAATTTTAAAAATTCCGAGCCCTAGCAAAAAGCCGTTAAAATGTTTAATGTCAACCTTGCGTCCTGATGGAAAAAGTTAAGGCGACATTTCCATCCTGCTGGCATTGTACCAATAAACGGGTATATTTAACAAAAATTATACTTCGCTACATATACGCGCTTACCAAGTATATCAATACTGGCATATTTGTCAATTTGTCAAGTCACTAGACGTTTGAGCCTAGCTATGCCTAGCCTACACGCATTTTCTCGCTAAACAAAAACTGAGTACGACCTACAACATAGTCACAATAATACATGAATTTGTTCAGAGAGAAAAATGCGTCCTTTTATAAACAAAATTATAATTTTCTGCAAACACTTATTGATAATACTAAAAATATTATTGTTTACATACAAAATTTTAATTCTAATACCTGAACCCTTTGAAATATCTATACGATTTATAGGCATCGTATGCGTACAATAACCCTAATATTGAGCCGGCCAGCTAAAACAAAAAGTTTATGGATAGGTGTAGTGTGTAGTTAAGTAAAAAAGGCCGAACTTACATAAGCCGCACTCATTGCAGGATAAACTTGATAATGGGGCGTTATCAAATAAACTGGTTCGAGTACTATATTCACGACATATCCCAAATATGAACAAGTACTCAGGTACGTAAATGCTGCTAGAATATTAAACAACACTTCCTGAAACAAACGGATAGAAATAATCATTATGATAATGTTGGTTGGAAAAAGGGTTGCTTCCCAAAGTTCGTTTTTAATCGTAATATTTGAAAAAAGATCCCACTTGAATCCAACTTTATGGAGCACACTGTATGTTACTAGGTACCTACCTACTAGAAAATAATGTAAAGATTTTTTTTACAATAATTTATGTAAGAAGTAATGCCTCCATTTATAGAGTGAATTCGGGTTTGAAAAATAAGTAGGTATATAGTATTCCATTTCGACTTTTCACTCTAGACATAAATAATACTTACAAACAATGATGATTTGATTAGGTTTATAGATTTTGGCGAAAATAAGTAGCACAACAGCAACAATAAACTGGTCAGAAAACACCATGTCACATTCGTCACGAATGATTGAAAGGATGGCCCTATTGTGCCAGAATAGCCGGAACCGTACTGAAGGGCCAAACTTTGACAGAAAAAACCGATAAACTGAAAAAAAGTTAATCAGAAAATGGTTAGCTTTTATGTTCACGCATACTAACCACTTCAGCTAATTTCAATTTTCCAGGACCGGTTTTTAGAAAACCCAAGTGTATGCAGCTGCAACAGCGGCAGCAACAGCATCCGATTCCACCTTCACCTCCTCCGTTATTATGGACTGTGACTATTGTGGGGCCTCTACTAGTGGACCTCATTTTTCTGCGAGTCTGTAAAATTTAAATCTTTCAATGACGATCTTGAAAAATGGCCACATATCTAAAATTAAACGTCATTTTTTTTTTTAAATTGTTGTTTCTGTTGTTTTATAAATAATATAGTAGTTGGGGAAAAATGTGTCTTATTTCTTCACTATCAATTTCATTCTCGAAATGTATAGGACATTAGTTGCAGGAAGTATAAGTTCTGTTCTCTTTGTAGCCATATATCTTAATGCATTATAAAATAGAAACCCTAGAAGTAATAAGAAAATAAGTTATAGTCCTTCTATCGACTGGTTTTTATAGTATGAGAAAAGGATAATATAGAATACCTTGCTAACAATACTACAGAAAATTCCTCACGTCAAACATAGAACTATGTAGTTTTTTTTAGATAGGTAACTCTAATTTACACATTTGAAGTCCTATAATAAAAACAAATTATTAGGGATTCAGACTGACTCCCTATTAATTTGAGCAAAGCGTTGTTATTCGAGAGATTGCTCGAGAACCTTCAAAATTCCGAGCAAAAAACTTTATAAAACTAAACTAAATAATTATCTATATAGAAAACCAACTTTTCAATCGGGTTTTCTTTCGTATGTATTTAAATGACAAGAGGAGTGGATAACATAGAAAATCTGAATATATCAAAAAAGGAAATTTTCTTCCACGATCATTACTATTTGAATCACAAGCACTATAACATAATTTCAAGAAATAGGCCAGATTGAAGAACTTGTTGAAAATAAGATCCATCAAATTAGCAAAATTGTCCAAAAAACGACCAATCGAGAAAACAGATATTTTGAATCAAGTAATTAAATTATAGGAAATAATCGATTCTATCAATTGAGATCCGCATTTACTTTTCCAAAATTACCCTTTACTTCTGTAGACTTGAAAAATATGTTCCTTTTCAAAAAAAGTATTTTATTAATACTCACGAAGTTACTTTTTTGGGGACCGTAAAGTTTCGATTATTCAAATGTCCTGAGAGCAAAAATACTAATAGGCATAACAACGTTAAGTAAATAATTCATAAACCTACCTCACAATACACTTATAATAATAATTTAAACGCGGCACAATGGATTTTCACCTCTCTAGACTTCCAGAAGGGCACGAGACTCCCGTGACACATGTGTCGTTCTGGCACGCGACAAAAAATAAATACGTTAGAATATACATGCCTGCTCTTCCTATGTGGGAGCATCGCACAGGGTTTAATGAAACTATTTTTGGAAAAATGTAAATTCATTCATCCGGTTTATGCTTTGTCGCGACTTTTGTTGACGTTTTTTGCCCTGCAGCTTGCAAAAAAAAAATATATCCAAACATTTTTTAGCTTGATGAAAATGAAAGTGTATTTTTATTTATTTGAAAAATATTATTTTTATTCAACATAGTATACCTACAGCAGGGTCAGCAGGTAGCCTCTGAATTCGACAACTTGGAGCACATCCACCTATGATGTATAAATTCTATGTAAAATGACCTGCTGGACTCGAATTCGAGGTTTGTCGCTCAATATTGAGATGGAGAAGCCGGTAACAAATTTAAAATGAGCATGAACTATGTCTTTCTCGATTTATTCATCCTATTGTAATATAAAGTTTTTGTGTTCTTTCAAATTCGTATTTGCTTAAGGCTTCAAATGCTGCACTGTGAATACTTTCTCTGATGTGCTGACAATGCATTCTTAAGGTATTGGCAGTGCATGTAATTTTTGGCCCAATTTTTTCATGCATAACCATTTACGCTATGTTCAGCTAGAGATTTTAGGTTGTATCTCCTAGACTCGGTCTTGTCTTATTGTTTTTCTTTTCCATTGTCCCTTGCGTTGCTTTTTTTCATCAGGAATGAAGATTTTTAATTCCAAAAGAAAACACAAAAATCCTCCTCCACAAAGTACTTTAATCACGTTAAAGAGGATCGGAAACTTCATCATCAGAGGCGATAAGTTTGCTCACATATCACAAAGCCGCTAGACTTCGGTGTAAAGAAGAAAACAGCCCAAAATAATTCTTCTGGAAGTCTCGTTTTCACGAAGAAAATAAAATTCCCAGAATAAACGCTTTCTAGACGTAAACAACTAGCTGCCTAGAATTCTGGTTTGGGGGCAATTTCGTAACATTATTGAATATAATTGACACTAATTTGCTTGCTCTTCACTTTTTTTTAATAAGATAAGATAAGATAATGATCTGTGTGGCATTTGATCTTCATTTATTTTCGGGTTTTCTTGAACGTTTTTTGTACCAACACTCATTGTCCGTTTATTTGTTTGTCTAGTTTTTCTTCGATTTCGCTCCTGTCCGCCTGTCCCGAGGATTGTTGCGATTGGGTCTTTTTACAGTCTACAGTTTTTCCGAATGCCGTGTACATATATACATATTGTAATAGGAAGTTTGAGTTCTATGTTTTTTTTTTTTCATTTGCCAAATACAGGGTGTTCCTAAATATCATGTACAAACGGAAGGAGGTGATTTTTCTGTGTTTTTTTTTCATGACTAAAATTTCTAATAAACATAAGTCCACAAACGCTTGGTTACCGATCTACGGGGTGTTGAAATTTCAATATTTTTCATAGCTCCTGCAATTTTTGAGGGATTTAGCTCAAATTTGAAATTTAGGTTACGCAATAGGAGCTTAATGATCGCATATGTAAAACTTTTACCAGAATCTACAGGGTGATACTTTTCCAAGGGTCATGCCCCCTTTTCTGCCCCTGAACTTTTTTGTGGTACGCCGCTGGTAGATTCTAAAAAAATAAATCAATGTTTCTACCTTGTTTGAAAACTTTTTGTTCTCTTCTACTAATGAGAAAAAAAAAAGAAAAACAATTCTCTGTAATTAAGTAGATGGAACAAATTTCTTTGGAATGTTCTAGTAGGCTATACTATAGCTTTATTTGGATTTTCTCTTGTTTCTGGCAAAAGTTTGACATGTGCATTGATTTTGCTCCTATTGCGTAACCTATATTCCAAATTTGAACTAAAACACTCAAAAATCGCAGGAGCTATAAGGAAAAAACTGAAAAATTATTTAAATTTCTATACTCAGTAAATCGGTAATGAAGCGTTTGCGAATATGTTTATTTGAAATTTTAGTCATAAAAAAAAAACAAAGAATCACCCCCTTCCGTTTGTACCATCGTCACCAAAAGTAACTGGGACACAAATAATGCATAATAATCTCCTGGACTAATTCTACTGTCATTCATTTCAATGCATTTAATGCATAGTTTGACAAATATTTGACAATAAAATCCATATAATAGGACAAGAGCTAATGTGATGCTGTCCCAGTTACTTTTGGTGACGATGGTACATGATACTTAGGAACACAGAACACCCTGTATATACCTATAATTATATTTTAGTTAGTCCAGTGTGAATTTTTTTAGTAATTTCAAGAATATATACCTTTGACCTTTAAATTTAATTTTAGTTTGATTTTGTGTTACATGTTACCCACTTGTTTCTTGAAAGTCGATTTCTCAGGAAAATAAATAATTGCAATTATCAGCCTCTTATCGTTTTGATGAGCAGCCCAAAGATTTTTTCAGTGGTAGCTCGCAGGCTAATATTACGGAACCATGACACTACCTTAGTTTTCTGTAAAAATATATTTTGTGTCCTATAAAAGTATTGAAAAAAGCGCGCGGAGATGCCATTAAGATGTGTGGTTTTAAAGACTTTTGGGCGTGGCACCTCAAAAAAAAAAAAAAAACCTGGTTCGCCCCCCCCAGAACCTCAGGCTGGATACGCCACTGCCTCAAACTCTTACCAGGAAATTTTCGCGAGTATCAATTTCGATGAGTATGCTGGTGGTGGAAGCAAAGACACCCGCAATTTTAATTTTTTTTCAACTGGATAATATAAAGGGTGTCAATTTGAAAACTTCCCACCCCTATTATCTCGGTGTAGAAAAATTTTCAAAAAAATCCCTGAAACACGTCAAGTATAATTTGAAGGGGGATGAGTTTTTATGTAAAATTCACCTTCCCTCTTTCAACCCCCCAGCCCCCAGAGCCACCCCCTAGAAAATTTTAAATGGAAAGGGGGGTCGAGTGATACATCATTTTGCAGGGTTTTTAATTCCATACATTTTGTACTAAATTTTAGTCCCTAAATTCAACTGTTTTGAAAATATTGAAAATTGACTTTTCTGCTACTTTGACAGGCTGTAAAACTTAAACGGTTAATTTTAGAGGAAAACCGATTTTACATTCTTGTCTTAGATTTTCATAAACTATCATTTGACACCATTTTTGAATTTAACCGGAGATTAAAATTTTTAACCGAAATTTTTAATCATGGTCTAAATTAATAGTTGCTGTCAAATGATAGTTTATAAAAATCTAAGACAAGAATGTGAGATCGGTTTTCCTCCAAAATGAACCGTTTAGGTTTCACAGCCTGCCAAATTTGCAAAAAAGTCAATTTTCAACTGTCAATATTTCCAAAACAGTTGACCTTAGGGATTAAAATTTTTCACCAAAATGTATGGAATTAAAAACCCTCCAAAATGATGTATCACTCGACCCCCCTTCCCATTTAAAATTTTCTAGAGGGTGGCTCGGGAGCTGGGGGTTGAAAGAGGGAAGGTGAATTTTGCAGAAAAACTCATCCCCCTTCAAATTATAGTTAACGTGTTCCAGGGATTTTTTCGAAAATTTTTCTACTCCGAGATAATAGGGGTGGGAAGTTTTCAAATTGACACCCTGTATATGTAGGTAATAATTTTGTAAATCGTCAAATAATAATAAATTGGACAGGGTAGTTCAGATTGGACACTTTTAATAGGAATTTCTGAGCGAGATACAAAAAAATGGACGCACCACTCTGAAGCTCCAATTTCATGAAATCTTCATTGGCACAAACCACATCTTCAACCGTTTTGCCGTTTTGAGAGCTTTACTCGATTTTGAGCATTACTGTGGAAGCTTAACTTTTTTGTTTATGAAAATGATTGATTTCCCTGAAAACTTTATGAAAGAACTT